CATACAAGGCTGGCTGGTAAGCATCCTAAAAACCCTGAACACGGAGGCTCAGAGAGCTTCTTAGTTGGTGAGGATATCTGCTCTCAGGAGCATAGCACATCACTTGGCATGGAAGCTCCACATTGGGAACCCTCCCAAACTTCACTCTATGCATCTCCTTTTGAACTTTTTGGCTACAATGAATCTGTAGCCACCAGTATGGTATACTTCCATGAGTTCTGCGAGATGCTCCAGCAAATCATCCAACCCAAAAGGATAGAGGGAGCCAACAGGTCAGAAAGTAAGGGTGTCACGTAAACTCGCAAGCTTGCAGTCGGCATCTTGAAGAAATAGTGGGAAATCCATCCTGAATTTGTGGCCAGCAGGTCAGAAGGTTGGGGCATCATGTGGGCTCCCCAAATTTGTGGCTGGCATCTGCCAGTAGTCTGAAGGATGGTGTCCTTTTAACTTATGAGTTCTGACCTAGATCCAGGTGGCTAGAGTCAGAGACAGAGTGCCACAGGGGCAGCTGGTGATGAACATGAAGACATGGGAAGGTGGGGACTAGATCAATCTCTAAATTTGGGGGATTGGATTCATGCTGATCCTTACCATACAAAACCCAAAATAACTGAAAGCAGGAACTCAAATAAATGCTTGTACACCAATGTTCATTGCAGCACTATTCACAATAGCCAAAAGGGGAAATGAGCCAAGTGTCCATAAACAGAAGAATAAATAAAATATGGTCTATCCATACAATGGAATATTATTCAGCCAAAAATAGGAATGAAGTTTTGATGCATGCTACTGCACAGATGAACCTTGAAAACATTTTGCTATGTGAAATAAGCCAAACACAAAAGTACATATATTGTAGAACAGTTGAGGTATTTAGAGATAGATAGATAGGTACTATTGAGTTGACTCCAACTCATGGTGACCTTATGTACAAGAGAATGAAACGCTGTCCAGTTCTGTGACATCCTCAAAATCATCAGCATGTCTGAGTCCACTATTACAGGAATTGTGCCAATCCATTTCACTGAGGGTCTCCCTTGCCCCTGTTGGACCTCTCCTTCACCAAACATGATGTCCCCGTCCAGGGATTGATCCCTCCTGATGATGTGTCCGAAGCAAGTGAGTTAGATTGATAATGTTTTCATTGGCTAATTTTCAGATGTATACCACCAGGTCTTTCTTCTTAGTCTTAGTTTGGAAGCTCTGTTGAAAAAAACCTGTCCATCATGGGTGACCCTACTGGTACTTGAAATACCAGTTGCATAGCTTCCGGCATCACAACAACATGCAACCCACCTCAGGATGACAAACTGACAGAAGGGTAGTGGATGAGTTATTTAGAACAGGCAAATTCATAGAGACAGAAAGTAGATTAGAGGTTGCCAGGGGCTGGGAGAAAGCAGGAATGGGGAGTTATTACTTAATTAATAGAGTTTCTGTTTGGGATGATGAAAAAATTTTAATAGGTGGTGACAGTTACACAATATTGTGAATGTACTTCATGTCACTGAACTGTACACTTAAAAATGGTTAATATGGTAATTTGCATGTTAAGTTTTTTCACCACAATCAAACAAGATAAGAAGTTTCTCCCAAAAACATAAAGCTTGAAAAAAATTGTCAAACAAAGACAAAAACAAAATACAGATTCACATTCCCAAAGATATTGGATAAGTTATTGGACCCAAACTGCCAAGTTGAACTGGTCAAGGAAAATACTGTCAGTTTCCTCATAGTAATCATAAAAGTCTGACTACCACATGTGACCCATACGTTCTTATGGAAATCATAACTATTCTATACACATGGCATAGGAAAAACCGATTTTTTTTTATATCAGATATAAACCCAAGTTTAACTAACCACCTGTGTGCTCTTGAGAAAATCATTTAACTTCTGAGCCTCAGTTTCACGAAGTATAACTTCGGATGATAATGCTGACTTTTTATAAAGCCATCTTAAGAATTTAATGAGTGATTTTTTCTTTTTTCTGATGTGATAATACATCCCCTAGCACTTAATAGGTCCTCAATAAATGATATTCTTCCTGGCTATAACACAGTAGAAAAAGCTGGTGGTGTTTTACTACAAAAGACAGCAGAAGTCACAGTGAATCATGCCTTAAGGTTAACAATTATTTAATATATTAACATTGTCACTTATAAATGTAAAATTTGCATATAGAGGAAAAAATAGGTTCTGTGGACACAAAAGAATACTAGAGATAGACAAGCAATCACAAAACAAAACCAAAAAATCTCTGGGATAAAAATGGAATGGCATTCCATGCCTGTGTTTACATAAACTAGGGAAGGAAAAAGAAAAAGTAACAGAATCAAAACCGATATAAAAAATAAACTTGGGTCATTTTATAGGAATCTGTGTTTATGATCCAGATGGCTGTCTTGAGCCCTGGACAGCCTAAGATAGAAAGATCTAGCCTGTTTCATGAATGATGATCTAAGACATAGCCATAGGTCTCTTCCCTTTCCTTTAACACTCAAGATCCTGAAGGAAGTTAATGCAAGGAATTAAAAGAACAGAGCTTAAAAAAAAAAAAAAAAGCTCAGGAAGTGTAAACTATCAATGGCCAACTTCTTCCAGGCACAGATTATTTAAAAATATACATGGAAGTAAAATGCTTGCTCAAACCTGAGCAAGAAGTTCCTTCCAACTCACTCATTTCTTGACTTGGGATTACCCAAGTGAAGCAACGTAAACTAAGGAAGTCATTAGAAACTGACGTTATCAAAAGATTGGCCAGGAAAATAAAAATATCTGAACCTATATATTGTAACAAGTATGCATTTCATACTAGGATCAAATCACTAGTGACAGTGAATTTCCAGGCTCAACTGTGGCTGTCTAATGGGACTGGCCTACTTGCAACAATGATTGGGGCGGGGGGCACACCCATGTTACAAAGCTTCAATCCACAGCTTCCCTCTTCAGTCAAGAAGGCAGCCAGGGGAACTCAGGGGGCCTGTTTGCTTCAGTAGATAATCTCAGTGGTGTAACTCTGCATTCTGTGATTCACAGCAACTCCCACCAGTAACTCCAAATTCAAAATTAACACTTCACTGTAACACTAAAAACTATTTTTAGCATTTTGTAAGCATATAACTTAATAATGCTTACTGTCTGAACAAAGCCATTCTTAACTGCATAGTATCTAAAATCCTAAAAGCAACCATAACCAGCATTTCCACTTATCAGATCTGGCAATTTTCTACAACATCAAATATCCAAAGAAATGACAGTTAAATATATTTCTTTTCAGCTGGAAATAGACTCTCCAGGGTCAACAAGTCCACAAGAATTGTCTAGGAAAACAGACCTGTGGTCACCAGTAAGTTCACTTGGCATCTGGTTTCACATGGAGTTCTATTTAAGTCTGCCTCAGACATGGAGCTGTTTGACCAGCATGAACAAAAAAGCATAATATTTAACTGGCCAGGCAAAATAAAAACAGAATCCATGCTTACCTGGAGTATATTTTATGGAAAATAGGACCATATGGAGGCTGCGGCAGGAAAGTTCACTGTGCTAAAATGTAAAACTACATGTTTTAAAGTATGCAGGACAAGACACTGGAATAATTAGGAAGCTTTAGAAAGTCACAAAAATTAAGAAATAACAAATAGGATGTGGGTTCTCCAGAGCATCACACAGAGTTTGTTAGGGCTCAAAATTAAATGTTTTAAGCTTCTCTATCGCATTTGAGTCAGGAATAAAAACAATGCTGGCAAAGTGTCTGAAGCTTAGTGTCCTGGTCAGGTTGAAAGAGATCTTGAGTAGGTCACTCATGTCTCTAGACTGCATTTCCCATATATAAAAGGAGGTGCTGAGCATGACCCCTAGGGGCTCCCCAGGCAAGTGCACAAGCTCTCCCCAGGGCCCCAAACACTCTATGAACAGCCACGTTTTCACACACTTACACAGGACAGGGAATCCACTCTTTCAGCATCTTCAGAAGGGCTGAAAATAGCATCCTCTGCTTAGTACAATCCCTCAGAAAGGCCTGAAACAGTAATACTGTAACTATGGCTCTCATTCCATCTTCCTCATCATTCTTTTAACATTATTCTCTCAACAAGTAAAAAAATAAGCTATAAGTAGGCTTAGGTAGCAATAAAAACACCCCAGAACAGGCACTAAAAACATGTAATGTCTCTGAATGCAGCAAATTTACCTCCCCACAACTAATGGCTATTTAGCGTTCTTCAAGTTTTAAATGATAGAGCCCTAAAACTATGAGGTTCAAATCAATTCTTAATTTGAAATGTTTTCCAATGATCACTACCAAAAACAAACAAACAAAAAGTAAGAATAAAGTGAGGTGAACCAGATTTCTAAAGCATCACTTAAAAAAAGAGGGGGTTCCCCCAATAACATGTCTTCAAATCAGAGCCCAGTCATCCCGAAGCAGTCAACCTTGTTGGAGGCCTGTCGATCTCAGGGGGTAGTCACGAGGATATCACACCACTGCCTTAGGGAGCTACCTGGAAACCACTGGTAGCTTGCTTACCAGCCTACAGCTCCTAAAGTACCATGCAGTAAGTTGGGGTCTGAGGTTTGAAAATTTGAAGTTAAACTGAAAGAAGCTGCAGTTTTTCATGCCACATCATTCACTTAGTCACACATTGCCATATTATTAGCATAACATTAAAATGAATTATGCCTTAAGCACTACACTTAACTCTAAAAAGAAATGTCTTTCAAAACAGGTAAGCTCAAGTAAGGTATTCCAATCTAAGAGTTCTATAAGGAAACTCCTGGAATGAGCAAGTGCCCCAATGAGTCTATGTTTTAACTAAACAGCATATTTCAAACCCTTTTCTGTGGTACTTATATGGATTAGTTATAATTATGATATCACTATTTTCAAAGCAGCTATTAAAACTACTATTAAAAATATTTATCACAAACAGAAATGACCTGCAAACTATAGTATTGCACACAGGGTATCAGAAGCTATGCACGTAAAGATCTCAAGGTCTCTAGAGCACCCAGAACAGAGACCCTGAGGCCATGCCCGTGGCTGCTCCAGCCAGCATGCCCAGGGCTACGTCACTGTCATTGGCTCTGTAGCACCCACTGATGATGACTTGGTTGGCCAATTGCAGACCACGAAGTCCTAAAAAAGAAGGAAAACAACAGATTTCAAAGAAGCAGTTTGTGAAGTCCAACATTTGCTCAAAAAGATTCACTCGACTACGAACACTAAGATGTCTGAATATCTTGTTTCCTTTCTGAGAGTAATCTAAGTCATTTCTCCATTGCATTTACGTCCTTTTTCCTATAGCTTTGCTCAGCTGATACCTATCTACCTCTGAAGAGGTGGCAGGATGACTGCAGTGGGTACTCCCCAGCTCTCCTCTGTCACAGGCTAAGGTCTCAGTACATGGCCTCATAAGGAGAACACCTCTATTTCTAAGACCACACTATGAGAAAATCGAGATTCTCAGCTCTCCAAGGTCCAAAATCCTTAATATCAGGAAGAGCAGAATCCTAATGAAGCTGCAAAAACTCCAGCCTCCAATTTCCACTTCAGCCCTCCACACCTAGCTTTTTAGAATGGACAGAGAGACAGGAAGAGCATGGGAGACACACAGCCTGCAGACAACGGAAAAGTCAAGAATTCCCATCAAAGGTCTAAAAATTAAAAACTCTTCTAAAAAACTAATTAATGTCTTAGTATTTATTCAAATCAATTTTTTAATTAAGCTAAAAATCTGCTCATATAACTTGTTCTTCATTTTCAATCACTACATGTCTTTATGGAGAGAGAATGACTATGTTAAAGGATAAAACTTCTAAAAAAGCATATTTCAAAATAATTTAATATTTAATTTGCATGTTAAAGTTTATGCTTAAAGTTCATACCTATCAAGAAGGAAATATTAAGTAAATAAAAGCTGGAAATTTATTAAGTTTGTTCTCATCTATACTTCTGAGCTATACTGACTAATAGCTAACTAGATTTCAAATTGCTTATATACTAATAGTGTTAACTTTCTTCTTTGATCCCCTACTCTTCTTTGATCCCCTATTCCTTTATCAGTTCAACCCTAGGAGAGCTAGAAACTCATCCAATAGTAACGTGTATGTGTAGGTGAAGAATAGAAGTGACACCAACAGTAATAACACATTCGTAAGTGCTTTCTACCAATCTGAGTATTTACAGCATTATATGAATTTACATGTATTGACTCACTTCACAATAACCCTATGAGGTGAGTACATATCCCCATTTTACATATGGGCATACTGAGGCACAGAGAGGTGAGGTAACATGCCCCAGGTCATATAGCTGGTTAAGGACAATATGGGCATTCAAACCCAGGACTCTGGATACAGTCTATTCATAACCACTAATGCCTCAAATAAGATGAAAGATGATGGGGGGTGGGGGGAGTGGGAATCATAGCCACAGAGTAGAAGTATGAGACCATTATAAATCTAAGGGCTAATCAAGTACAGGTATAAGCATTAGAGGCAAATGATTTTTTAATGCAATCCTTATATTTCAAAACCGGCAAATTGTGGCATTCACTTTCACAGTCTTGAAATTAAAAAGTTTTCAGTTAGGCAACTCCAACTAGCAAAATATAATACAGTAGAACTTGTAGGCTGACCTAATTAAGATCCCGTAGAACACTTGAACTCTGTATTACCTCTAGAAGTCACCCTGAGGGATCCCCTCTCCACTTGACCAGGAGACCACTCTCCTGCAGCTCCTGCTCACCTCTGCTCCTACCATTGAGCTAAGTCAGTGAGCCGAAGTCAGCTGTGGAGGCTTCCATGTTGTACTTAGTATAATTAACTAATTTAACTGTTACATAAATGGTCAAAATATGAATGCAAAAAAGGCAGATATTGTTTCTATGACAATTAGGTTAGATACTCTGGGCAAGACTAAATAAAGGCAGGTCACTTTTACTAATCACTATCAAACCAGGTTGAGGAGCCCTGGTGGCACAGTGGTTAAAGCCCTCAGCTGCGAACTGAAAGGTCAGCGCTTCCACCAGCCACTCTGCAAGAGAAAGATGTGGCATTCTGCTTCTGTAAAAATGTGCAGCCTTGGCTGTGGGGACCATGGTCTAGGGGAACATCTAACTCAATTAGCATAACACAATTTATGAAGACAGTGTTCTACATTTTACCTTGGTGGGTAGCGTCTGGGGTCTTAAAAGCCTGTGAGCAGCCATCTAAGATACTCCACTGGCCTCACCCCTTCAGGAGAAAGGGAGGATGAAGAAAACAAGATACAAGGGAAAGATTAGTCCAAAGGACTAATGGACCACAGCTACCAAGGCCTCCACCAGACTGAGTCCAGTAAAGCTAGATGGTGCCCGGGTACCACCACTGACTGCTCTGACAGGGATCACAACAGAGGGTCCAGGACAGAGCTGCAGAAGGATGTAGAACAAAATTCTAACACAAAAAAAAAGACCAGATTTACTGGCCTGACAGAGACTGGAGGAACTCCAAGAGTATGGCCCCCGGACACCCTTTTAGCATTTGATGAAGTCACTCCCAAGGTTCACCATTCAGCCAGGGATTGGACAGCCCCATAAAACAAAATGGGACTAATGAGGCACAACAGTCCAGGGACAAGGACTATAAGACAAGAGGGGACAGGGAAGCTGGTGATAGGGAACCCAAGGTTGAGAAGGGACAGTGTTGACATGTCATGGGGTTGTTAACCATTGTCATAGGGCAATACGTGTACTGTTTAATGAGACACTATTCTGTAAACCTTCATCTAAAGTACAAAAAAAAAAAAATAATTATCTATGTGAGATCAAATTGACAACAGCAACTCAAAGGTTTGGTGGGAAACCTAGAAGACAGTGAGTTGAAGATAATGGTGATGGAATAATTTGGAAAAGGACAGTGAGAATGGCAGCACAACTGGAAGAATGTAATTGATGTCAATGAATTGTACATGTAGAAATTTTTGAAATGGTATATCTTTAGCTATGTATATTTTCACCAAAAAAAAAAAAGTTCCTCCAAAGTCGAGAAGGGAGAGGGTTGACATGTCATGGGGTTGTTAACCAATGTCATAAAACAACATATGTACTGACTGTTTAATGAGAAACTATTTGTTCTGTAAACCTTCATCTAAAGTACAATAAAAAAAATTAAGAAAAATGTGCAGCCTTGGAAACTCTAAGGGGCCATTCTACTCTGTCCTATAGGGTCACTAGGAGTTGGAATCAACTCAGTGGCAGCAGGTTTATCAAACTAGGGAATTTAGAAAATGTAAAAGATGGGGATGGGAGGATCTAGACAAAATCTAGTCATCTGCTTATGAACTGCTTCACAAGTGTCATTAAATTCTCACTCTACATTTAGGAAACCAGCCCTGGAAACTGCAATGCAATGATGTGTCATAAGTATGGCCTCTATGAGACAGACATAAACGACTCCAAACAAAGGATCCAACTCAAGGCAAAGACCTCAATCCCACAGCAAAAGACAGCTGAATCAATGTCTGTTTACATGTACACATTAAAACAGAATACTTAGGATGAATTGACACAATAGCCACAACAATGAACTCAAACATACCAACGATCACAAAGATGGCACAGGACCAAGAGACATTTTGTTCTGTTATGCATAAGGTAGCTATGAGTCACAGCCAACTTGACAGCAACTAACAACAACCACAACTCTCTTTATACTTTTTAAATTGGCTGACCAACCACTGGTCACAATCATACTAAAAAGAAGGCTTTTAGCACCAGCTCCACGCATGATGAGGAGGATCTCTATGGACAGCAATAGGCAGTAAAACAAAGACACAGAAATGGAAGACATTATGAAGTTGGCAAAGCACTATGGTACGGTATCTTAGGAATCTTAGGGAAAGTAGCAACCTGGCTGTCAACAGAATGCTGCTGTGGGACAACCACTAACCGACTTGGCCCTCCCCACTGAAGCATTATCTGCTGTCTGGTCATCACACTAAAGCTGGACAATCACTGACTCAGCTCCTTCTGTAGTTAGTACACCTGCTGTTCAGTCACGACACTGACCAGGACAACCACCAAGTTGGCCCTTTCTGCAGTCAGTATATTTGCTGGTCAGTCATAACACTGACCAAGACAACCACTGACTCAGCCTCTTCTGTAGTTAGTACACCTGCTGTTCAGTCACAACACTGACCAGGATAAACACCAACTCAGCCTCTTCTGCAGTAAGTACATCTACTGATCAATCACAACACGGACTAGGACAACCAACGACTCAGCCACTTGTACAGCAAGTATCCAAGGTGTTTCCCATGACAGTGCTATCTCTTTTTTTATGAGGAAAGTCGTGGGCAAGAATGGGATTTGATTTACAGAAACTCCCTTTACAACTACTTCTGCAATACTTCTATGCAATAAGAAACTGCTGTGACTCCCACACCACAATTCAATAGACTAGGGGCTGAATTTAAGAAGCTGATTCTCACGATTTGGTAAGGCAAGGGCTTAAAATCCACCACCAAAATCAAGGCCGAAAAAATAAGTGGGCAAAGGAAAATGATTCATACAAGGGGAACTATAACTAGCAAACAATTATACAAAAATGCTTATCGTTGTCAGTAATCATAGAAATGTAAACTAAAGCAAATTTGATTCCACTTTAGGCCTAATAAATTTATCAAAACTTTTAGAGCATAACAACAAGCAATCTTTATGAGATTACAGACAAACCAGCCAAAACAGACACCAGTAACTACAAAGACAGCCATCTAACAGTGTGACTTTGGGGATAGCCAAATCCAAAGTCCCTATGGCAGCCTCCCTGGTTTCTCTGTGGCAGTAGTATCAGCAATGATCCCATCTTTCTGGTAGCAGATTCTTCTTCCACAGCTTCTGTGTTAAGGCACTGCACTAGTTTTGCTCACAGCTCCAGGACAGCACCTCTTCTTCCAGGTACTCCTCAAATCCCCAATCTCTCCACAGGCTTTGGGTTTCTTCTACCCTCCAGAACTGTCCTGGTTCCAGTCTATTCACCAGTTTGTTCTATTGTATGGCCTTGCTCTTCAATCCAGGAGTCACGTGGCTCCAGATCTCCTAGCCCTAGCTGCCAGCTCATGCCCTAAGACCAGCATTCTCCCACACCTTCACCATGCAGACCCTCCCTTGCCCAGGAAGGCAAGTTACACGGTCCCTGTTACTCACACCTATAATTTGTTTCATGGGAGATGAAGAATGGAAAAAAGTGTGCATTAAAATACTGGAATAAATATAAGCCACTTTCAGGCAGGACTCTACTCGCTTGTGAATTAAGACCATTACCTCTATAGTGAAAACTTTTGAAGGATGTTACCAAAAGGAAAAAAAAAAAAAAAAAAAAACAGAAGAAAGGCTACCTCTTTTCCCTTAAAATGGGCTTTTTTTTTTGGTTACTTCTTAATACAAGTGAATCTCAGTAAGCACAAATTGGCTTCTTGGGAACTAATCTGTATACAATGTTGAAATTTTAAAAAAATCAAGCCTATTCTAGCTTTGTAAAGCAATGTGAAAATATAAGATGCTTACTAAGAAAAGAAAAAAAACAAAACATAATAGCAGAATGACTTGTGGTCTATAACCAGAAAACTTAACTCACTTATGCTTACTCAAAAAATACAAATTCTTAAAGGCCCCACTAGTCCACACACTAAATGAATACAAACGAAGGAGTAGAAAATGTTGGCCTGAGTTACCTGCATATGGATACAGGAAGGGTACAGCATAAGCCTGCCTGGTAGCAGTGTAGACAATGTGAGTTCCTGGTGGGTATGCACCATTATAAGGTCCAAACCCATATGTCTGCTAAAAAGAAATATGACCATAAGAAATACAACTTTGAAATCTCTGGTAATGTATTAATACTCGCTCTCCAAGTTTCAGTCAATAAAATTTAATAGTCAATAAAAAAATAAAGAACATGAGACAGTGCAGTTATGCTTTCTTTTGTTTGTTTTTATTCTTTATTGTGTTTGTCTTAAGTTTTAAAAAGAAACCTCATAATTGAAGTCTACTTTCCTACTTTCAGGCTGTGAAATGAAAATGGTAAAAAGGTACAACAAAAGTACCAGTGGCAAAACTTCCAGTATCAGAGCAACACACAAGCCACCACAGTCTGATAAACTGACAGACACGTGGTGGGTAATAACTAGAGTAAACACTAAAAAATAATACAAAGAAATAGACTCAAAAACACTATAGATAGATCAAAATGGAATTCTAAAATATGTTCTCACAGAAGGGCAAGTAAAAGAACACAGATGGAAAACAGAACAAAAAGAAAACAAAAAATAAAATGGCAGACTTAAGTTTAACACATGAAAAATTACATTAAATGTAAATGATCTAAATATACAATTACAAGAAAGAGATTGGTAGAATGGAAGGACAAAAACATGATCCAACAAAATCTCCACAAGAAACTCACTTAAAATTCAATGATATATGTAGGTTGAAAAAAAAAAGGATGAAAATAGATATATCATGCAAACATTAATAAACACTAAGCAGGGCTATCAGATACAGTAGACTTCAGAACAAAGAAAATTACCAGAGACAGAAACATTACATAATGATAAAACGGTCAATCCTCTAAGAAGACATAATGTGCATGAACCAAGTGACAGAGTTGCAAAATAGGTAAAGCAAAAACTAATAAAACTGAAAAGAGAAATAACAGATAAATCTATAATTATATAGGAGATGTCAACACACTTACCTCAACAACTAGACAAAATATCAGCAACCCTATAGAAGAACTCAACAACAGAATCAACTAACATGATCTAATTGACATTTGAAGAACACTCCAGTCAACAAAAGCAGAATAAAAATTCTTTCAAGCATCCACAAAACATATTCCAATATATACAATATGACAGGCCATGAAACAAACTTCAACAAATTGAAAAGGACTGAAATCTTGTAGAGTATGTTCTGTGACCACAATGGAATCAAAACTAGAAATCAATAACAAAAAGATAACAGGAAAATCTTCTAACATCTAGAAACTTAACAACTTCCTTTTAATAATCCATGGGACAGAAGAGTAACTCTCAAAGGAAATTAAAAAAAAAAAAAAACACAGAAATAAGTGAAAATAAAATCCAATATGTCAAAATTTGTGGGATGCAGTTAAAGTAGTAACGAGATGGAATATTATACCACCAAATGCTTATATTAAAAAGGAGGAAAATTCTCAAATCAATAAACTAAGCTCCAACCTCAAAAAACTAGAAAATGAGCAAATTAAACTCAAAGCAAGCAGAAGGAAAGAAGACCAGAAATTAAATGAAACCGAATAACAGAAAACAGCAAAAAAAAAAAAAAACAAAAAAAAAACTGAATGAAACAAAAACATGATTCTTTGAAAAGATCAATAAAATTGACAAATCCCTGGCAAAACTGTCAAAAAAAAAAAAAAAAAAAAAAAAAAGGACAAAACACATTACAGGCAGTCCCGGGCTTACCAGCATAATTGTTCCTAAGTGTGTCTTTAAGGCAAATTTGTAGCTAAGTTGGAACAGGTGCATACAGTTCCTATTTAGCCTTAATTTAGTGCAAGAAAAAGCTCAAAGACTTTTCAATGATTTAAAAGGTGCCTATACAGGACTGAGGTGGGGCCAAGATGGCGGAGTAGTCAGATGGCTTTCTATAACTCTCTTACAACAAAGACCTGGAAAAACAAGTGATTTGATTGTATATGAATATCTAGGAGCCCCTGAATAAGGCAAAGTTGAGGAATCGGACAGAGTGGTGGTGGGAGAGGGAGACAGTTCTGAAGAAGCGAGAAGGGTCAGACTGGTGGCTAGAGCCACAGCTCTTCAGCCCCAACTGGCTCCAAGGTACACAGTGAAGCAAGCAAACAGCTCTGTGCGCACGCTCAGGAGGAAGTTTCCACATTGAGAGAGACCTGCCAGCAGAGATTCTGATGGACACTCCAAACCAGTGAAAAGGAGCTCCCAAGTGGCTAAAGATAAGTACATGTGTGCGGCCTTTCGTGGGGATTTTTAAAAAAGCCCATTCAGGAAAAACCTCTCTCCCTTTTACCTCCTCCCTCCCTGCTCTGCACCTGTCTGGACTTCTGAAGTCTCTGAGTTCCCTGGGCCAGAAGTAGATACCAAAAGGCACCCTGACCCATTCTCCTGGCCTTGGAGAGGGAACAAATAAGCTACTGGCTCCCCTAAGCCAGGAACTCAGGGTCAGCACAGCTCCTTTGCTAGGCACAGGCATAAGGGGTCCACAGACTTTGAGTGCCTTCCACCCCTGTATAGACTTGTGTGGACTCATCTCATCAGCATAAGCCCTCACTAACACAGTACAACAGGTAAACACCTGAAGTCTAACTTCAACTGTTTCAGCTATGAAGTGGCAGACTTGTGACCCTCCACACAGCCCTGCCCTTTGAGCAGGCACATTTACGAATCCTCACCAGGGGCTTGAGGACTGGTAGCTACACCTACACCACCTAGTCACCTGCTATAGGGGTCCAAGAATAAGTGGGACCCCCGAGTCTTTAAAGCCAACAGAGTGGGGTGCTCATATTCTGGCCACAAAACTCACCTACCTACTCGACCTAGGGAATAGGGACATGCTTTCCTTTCAGACTCTCAGGGGCAGCCATCAGCCCCCTGCCTGGCTCAGTGCATGACCCCCTACTACAGCCAGATACATGTGCCTACAACAATCACCCATACCTCTCTAAGACTGTAGATGAGAGCCTGTACCACACACTCGGTGACCAACTGCCTGGACACCTGAGCTGAACCCATCTAGGAAAATTTAACAGACTCCTGTGTGCACATACTTAGTTACAGAACTAACTATCTGGTGACAGGATGTTAGAGCTTGAAAGGCGCCAATAATCAAACTAGCACACACGAGCAGCCTATTTGGTCATATCAAAACAAAACAAAACAAGAAGCTAGGACTCATTAAACAAATATAAAATAAAATTATAATAACTTATTGATGGCTCGGAGACAACAGTCAATATCAAATCACGTAAAGAGGCAGTCCATGATGGCTTCAGCAAGCTCCCAAAATAAGGACTCAATAAATTCTCTGGAGGAAGAGAATTTCTTGGAATTACCAGAGGCAGATAACAAAAGATTAATATACAGAACTCTTCTAGAAATTAGAAAGGAAATTCATCAAAATGCAGAAACTTCCAAAGAAACACAAAGTGGTAGCGGAACTTAAAAAAGTTATTCAAGAACATAACCACAAATTTAATAGGCTGCAAGAATCCATAGAGAGACAGCAGTCAGAAATCCAGATTAACAATAAAATTTCAGAATTAGACAACTCAATAGAAAGTAACAGGAGCAGAATTGAGGCAGTAGAAGTTAGAATTACCGACATTGAAAATAAAGCACTTGACGCCAACTTACTTGAGAAAAACTCAGATGAAAGAATTAAAAAGAATGAAAGAACTCTAACAGTTACGTGGAACACTATCAAGAAAAATAACCTAAGAGTTATTGGATTACCAGAACGGGGGGGATAACAGAAAATACAGAGAAAATTGTTGAAGATTTGTTGACAGAAAACTTCCCTGATATCATGAAAGAAGAGAAGATAGCTATCCAAGATGCTCATTGAACCCCACGTAAGGTAGATATCAAAAGAAAGTCACCAAGACATATTGTAATCAAACTTGCCAAAACCAAAGATAAAGAGAGAATTTTAAGAGTGCCTAAGGATAAAAAAAAAAAAAAAAAGTCATCTACAAAGGAGAGTCAATTAGAATAAGCTCGGACTACTCAGCAGAAACCATGCAGGCAAGAAGGCAATGGGATGACATATATAAAGCCTTGAAGGAAGAAAACTGCCAGCCAAGAATTATATATCCAGCAAAACTGTCTCGGAAATATGATGGCAAAATTAGGACATTTCCAGATAAACAGAAGTTTAGGGAATTTGCAAAAACCAAACCAAAACTACAAGAAATACTAAAGGGAGTCCTCCAGTTAGAAAATCAATAACATCAGATAACAACCCAAGACTAGAACACAGGACAGAGCAACCAGATACCAACAGAGACTGGGAAGTCACAAAAAATAAATCAAAGCTAAAACATTGAAAATAGGGAAACAGAGATATCAATACGTAAAAAAGGACAACATTAAAACAAAAAAGAGGGACTTAAAAATTGCAGACATAGATTTTTCATATGGAGGGGAAGTCAAGGTGATATAAAGAAATAAAACACTGGCATAAACTTAGAAAAATAGGAGTAAATATTAAGGTAACCACAAAGGATTCTAACAATCCTACAAATCAAAATAAAAAAGCAGAAAAATATAAAGACTCAGCAAACACAAAATCTACAACAAAGAAAAAGATGAAAAAAAATACATAAAGAAAATGACTCAGCACAGAAAATTAAGGGGAACAAAAAAACTGTGAACAACACACAAAAACAGACATAAGGATGACAGCACAAAACTCATATCTATCAATAATTACACTGAATGTAAACAAACTTAAAGCACCAATAAAGAGACAGAGAAGGGCAGATTGGATAAAAAAGCCAGATCCATCTACATGCTGCCTACAAGAGACACACTCAAAGGATGGAAAAAAATATATCAAGCAAACAACAATCAGAAAAGAGCAGGAGTGGCAATATTAATCTCTGACAAAATAGACTTTTAAGTAAAATCTACCACAAAGGATCAGGAAGGGCACTATATAATGACTAAAGGGTCAATACACCAGGAGGACATAACTATAATAAATGTTTACGCACCCAATGACAGGTTCCAAAATACATAAAACAAACTCTAACAGCACTAAAAAGA